GATCAGGTGCTAATATTCCATGGACTAGTCTCTTAGCTTTCTTTTAGGCTGCCCCATCCTCTTTCCTTGCCCCCAGGGACTCTGAGGCAGTTAGAGAAAGTAACTGAGACATTTCTAGCATTCCAGATTTTTCTGCCCACGGGTGATATTCTCATGGCAAAATATACCCAGTGATAATGCTGTTCCTATAGACTTAACAACAACAAACAAAACAAAACAAAACAAAACAAAACAAAACCCTGAGTTTCACTACATTCCCCTAACTAATCAGGAAGTCTGTGTAGATCAGGCTGGTCTTAAAATCACAAGGATGTGCCCAGATCTGCCTCCCGAGTGCTGCCAGTAAAAGCATGCATCAACACTCCTGGCCTCTTCTGCAGACTTTTGGATGTTCCCAAGCACGGGTCTTGGAAAGTTTATGTTAATTCTTCTTAAATGTAACTTATATTTTTTAAAAAAATTGATTGTCCTTTTGGGTGCATTACTAATCAAATACATCATCTACAATCTAAATCTAGTTCTATTGTGAGAAGAAAGGCCTTTATTTCTTTACATTTTTATGTTTCAACATTTTATGTTTTATATTGTGCTGTGTTTTAGGATGTAAATGCTAAAAATCTCAGTGAGTATCATGGCACCATAAGAACACGAATTCTGTGCTTATAGAAAGATTCATTTTCAGGTAACCCCAAATAAAGAGAATGGGATATATAAAAAAAATTAGACTGGACAGAAAGGACTCACTTGCACATAAGAAGCAAGTGGTAGCTAACCATTCTTGCTACTTATGAATGAGTTTACAAACTAAATCAGCTTCCATTTTCATTCTTCATTAATCACTGGCCTCTGTGATTTCAATTACCCACATTTTGCAGTTTTTGCACAGGTTTCTGTGCTCACAGAATCTCCAGGAAAGAAATAATCAAACCGTGTTTTACTTATTCCAAAGGAATCCTAGCATATTGTGCAAAATGCATATGATGACTAGTTGTGTTTGTAATACTGGCACTGTGTAAATGAGTGGATATAAAATTTAGATTTAGTTGGATGTAAGTATTGTTCAAATGATCAATATTTTTGTTTAAAAAGTATTATTCACTTTCACAAGAAAGGCTAGCTTGATAGGTCAAAAAAGTACTCTTTAATTTTTTTTTTCCAAGACAGGATGTGGTAGTTTGAATGTAATTGGCCCTCATAAGCTCATTGGGAGTGGCACTATTAGGAGGTGTGGCTTTGTTGGAGTAGGTGTGACCTTGTTTGAGGAAGTGTGTCACTATGGAGGCGGGCTTTGAGGTCTCATATATGCTCAAGCCATGCCCAGTGTATCAGTTCACTTCCTGTTGCCTTTGGATCAAAATATATTAATTCTCAGCTCCTTTTCTGTTGCGGTAACGCCCGCGTTACCGATACCTGTTCACCATGTCTGAGCGAGGGGCTGCGGATTAAAAAATAGAGACAAGAGACAGCAAGTCATTCACCATGGCTGAAATGCCAAATGCCAAATGCTGAATGCTGTTTATTGAAAGAGGGAGGAAACCTAAAATACAGTCTTACAGCACAATAGATGATCCCTGGAGGGCAGAAGTTCACTACCTGCTACTGAAAGTTCTACATTCTTGTATCTAAGTTGTTTACACCAAATACAGGATACAAGAACAAAGAACCTCTGGTGAGCTCTCCGGTGATCCTTAGGTGAGAAAGAAACCGGCAGGGAATCTAAATAGGAAGGACATCTGGTCAAGGTCGGCAAGAAAGGCAGCAGCCACTCACAGTCGGGGGCCGGGGCCTACAGGGCCCACACTTTTCCAGCACCACATCTGCCTGCATGCTGTCATTTCCCACCATAATGATAATGGATTGAACCTCTGAACTGTAAGCCCCCTCTGATTCAATGTTTTCCTTTATAAGAGTTGCTGTGGTCATAGTGTCTCTTCACAACAACTGAAACGCTAGCTAAGACATGGGGTTTCTCTGTGTAATAGCCCTGGCTGTCCTGGAACTCGTTCTGCAGAATAGTCTGACCTTGAACTCAGAGATCTGCTTGCCTTTGCCTCCTGAGTGCTGAGATTAAAGGCACGTGTCAGCACTTCAATTTTTAATAGTTCTTATTTCCTAATCATTTTATATCTACTTGGCAAGTAGCTGGGTTTTTTTTTTTGTGGGTTTTTTTTTTGGGGGGTTTTCGAGACAGGGTTTCTCTGTGTAGTTTTGGTGCCTGTCCTGAATCTTGCTCTGTAGACCAGGCTGGCCTCAAACTCACAGAGATTCTCCTGGCTCTGCTTCCCGAGTGCTGGGATTAAAGGCAGGTACCACTCCTGCCCAGTGTAGCTGGTGTTTTATATAGTGCTGACTGTTGTTTCATTTGCTTACGCTGTTTGATTCACTACATTTGCACTTAATGCCATATCATATATATCATATATCACATATATGTGCAAACAAATTTTAATATGTGTCATATATTTGGCATTCAATAGTTTTAAAGCCTTAATCCTGGATAGATTATAAATTTTAAATTAAATTATTTAAGGATATATCATTTGTTTATTGAAATCAAGCTTAGACTCCGATGGTTTTTTTTTGGGAAGTAGTTCAGTTTCCAAGGCTAGACCCTGGGGGGAGTTGAGTTGCTGTGTGAAATCTGTGTGTTTTTTTCTAGCTCTCCTGTTCCTCAATCTCTCTGTGATTTGAGGCAAGCAACTTAACCTCTCTGACCATCAATTTCCCCAACTATATAATGGCCATAGTTTATCCCTTATGGAGTCACTGGGGGGTCACCTGTAATAACACAGGCCAAGATCAATTTGGTGCCATGTACAAATGCTCTGTAAATGAAAGCTATGAATTCATAACTATAACTATGATGTGGGTCTCACTGTTGGTAGAAGCTTGCCTAATATCCTCCTAGTCAGTCTTCACACAGTGGCTTCCTTCACTTACTGCCACACAGGGCATGCTGTGTGGAGGACAGGGCATGCTGTTCCTGTCAGAGACTCCCCTGATGTGACAGACAAACCATGTACCCCATTCATTCCTAGGACCGACAAGAGCCACCATCGACCTGTCTCTATTCACACAGACACCTGGCTTCGCCATGCACTGAAGCCCCACAGAACAGTAAACAACCACATTATCTCTAAAATTTAGATTAGCACACATGGATGGCGGGGACACCCTCCTCCACGGAGAACCACTGGCTTCCTTTCTGCGTAACTCATTTTCATTGATGTGGAGAACTGTTCCCAATTCATTTTTTCCCCGGAAGATATTGACTGGGCGACTACTCTGTGCGAGGCACTATGTCAGGAGGAGCAAGGGACACAGCAAAGGGCAAGACAAATAAAGCCCTCACTTCCGGGGCTGAAGTCCAGCCATAGACACAGTGTCACAAGTGGACAGCTATAAAGACAACTGATAATGGCATGCTGCGCAAACCCACGGTGGTGTCTTTTGCTTGTTTAGATTTTTTTTTATTTTTAGTGTGTGCATGCGTGTCGGTACATAGATATGTGCATATGTGCACAAACTCATGGTGTCTTGAGAACATATATGGAGGGACTTCTTCTTCTTTTTTATTTTTTTGAGACAGGGTTTCTCTGTGTAGCTTTGCGCCTTTCCTGGAACTCACTCTGTAACCCAGGTTGGCCTCAAACTCACAGAGATCCGACTGCCTCTGCCTCCCAAGTGCTGGGATTAAAGGCATGCGCCACCAACACCAGCCAGCCAGCCAGAAGAACTTCTTGAAGGAGGAGAAACTAATACAGACTCCTAAAGGTTGGGGAGGAGCTGCAGGGCGAAAGAGAGGGTCTGCGACAGAGGTGTGACTAGCCAGCTTAACTGTCCCAACGCTACATTTTTGCAAGGATATGGGAATATTTCTCACGGACACTAAGTAAATTTCAGCAAGACAGCCATGTGGTTTCACTTATGTCATGAGCAAGAAAGCCACCTGGAAGTACCAGGGGGCCTCGGGAGAAGGGAACTAAGGTGCCTGCAGAGATTTAGGGCTGTGGGTAGAGTGGTAAAAAGTCAGCTGGGGTACAAATTCATCTGCCCACTCTTGGTCTTTCTCGGCAAAGATATTTATAAAGATGTCACAGGTGCATCTGAGGTGTGTGTGTGTGTGTGTGTGTGTGTGTGTGTGTGTGTGTGTGTGTATGGGGGGAGTGACAGGGGAGGGGAGGGAAGGAGAATGGAGGGGAGGGGAATTAAAGGGAAGACAGTAGATAAGAGAAAGGAGACACCAAGCTTCACCATGTGCCAGATGCCGGAGCATGGACTGTGGTGGTATTCTAATTGTACTGAAATGTGATTTTGATTGTATGTTAATAAATAAAGTTGCCCGGGGGTCAGAGCTATTAGAGCCATAGACAGAGTGTGGCGGCGGCGCACGCTTTTAACCCCATAGATCTCTGTGTGTTCAGGGATACAGCCAGCATTGGAGACATATGCCTTTAAGACCTGGGGGGGCTGTACATACAGACAGTGACAAGGCAGTCACGTGTTTGGGTTTACAACCAATGAGAAGGCATAATGACTATGAAACGACTTACACACAGGGAAATATCTCTCTTTCGGGAAGCTGGGACCACGGCAGGAGGAAGGGTGAGATTTGAGCTCTGAGCTCTGATCTCTTGGCTTTCTCTTTTACATTGGTTCTGTGTTTCTTATTTAATAAGACGGTTGGTTACATCTACAATGGACGCTGCAGCCACAGTAGGTAGGAGCAGGGTGTCACCCACTGTCCAGGGCTTGCCTAGCACACATGAGAACAAGATAGTTGGTCATCCTATGAGCTATCTCCTCTCATAAACCTAGCTTTGGAAGGCATTAGAACTCCCCTTAGCAAGCTGGAGGAGAACTAGGAGCACAAATGAAGCCCTGCACCTCACTCAGGACAAGTCTGGCGGCCGGCTAAAGGACAAAGTCTCGGTTGTCACCAAGAGTTGACATTTTAAATTTACTGACTCAAGGTTGCGTCGTATGACATGGACTCTCCAGAGGACTGCTTTTGTGCTTTTGCTATAAAAAAGCACACAATGTACAATTTACCATCCTGAGCATTTTTGGGTGTGCTTGTGAATAGTGTTCAGTACATCCAAACTGCCTTACAAAAGAATGGAGAATTTCCTCATCTTAAACGAGTGCAGTTCTGGGTCCATGGAGCAGCTTGTTCGTTTCCGACCTCACCTCAGCCTGAATCCTGACACTATGGTTAACATCAGTTGTCAATGCAAAGGCAGACCACGTGTGCTCCTTCACTGATGTTATGTAACAGGACCCCAGGCCATAGCACCACTGACTCCATGATGGAAGTTTCATTTAGGCCACAAAACAGCCCGCAGACATCACCACCTGCCAAAATGAAAACAAAGACCTGATCCATCAAAGTCCACAGTTCTGGAAAAGTCTCACAATGTACTAACCTGATTTTTGGCTTCTGTATTCTGCCTCTGGCTAACTGTTCTCATTAACTGAAGTGTGTTAACCCAGATTATGGTTTTTGTGCTTAAAAGCTCACCCTGAGAAAGATTTAGGGCTACACAGGGATCATGAATACCCAGTGTAGTTGCCGGCTGGCTAATAAAGACCTTCTATTGGCTTAAACCTGTACTCTTCTCCGGTGGCTACTCCACAACATTAGGTCCCAGCTTGGCCTCCAACATGAACTGGAGACCGGTTGCTCTTTAGGAATTCCTTAGGCCTTCAGCACCAGATTGGATCTGCTGAAGCACCCAGCCTGTGGACTGAGAAACTCCTGGTTTCTGTTGGGGAATGTTCGTTTAACTATGCAAAAATGTGTTGTATTTGCTTATGTTGCATAGTATTTATTTACCTATATAAATATGGGCTGCATTTGTCTAATATGTAAAGATGTGCTGCTGTTTTACCTTGCCTGCCTAAGGCACCTGATTGGTCTAAAAAAAAACCCAAAGGGCAAGAAGGAAGGAAGAAGGAAAGGGGGAACTCCCGGCAAGGAAAAGAAGGAAGAAGAAGAAATTAAGCCCAAAGAAAAAAAAAAAAGAAAAGAAAAGGAAAAAACAAGCGCCAACCAAAACCGGAAGAAACAAGGAAAGAAGAAAAAAAAAAAGAAAAAAAAGGAAAAAAGACTGAAGCAAAAAAAAAGGAAAAAAAAAAGGTAAAACAAAAAAAAAAAACCGGGGGGAAAAACCCAAACCAAAGCCGAACAACCAAAAATAACAAAAAAACCCTATGTCTTTATTTGGGAGCTGGTTGGCAGCCCAAAGAAAAATCACAACCACAGGGTTCTCTGCCTCTCCAAGTGTGAAACAGACACTGTTGGACCTCCCAGACTGCATTGTGTAAGCACATCTAACAAATCTCCCTTAGTTACCTGGAAACCTCTACCCCCAGAGATCTTATCCTATTTTTTTAGAGTGATACAGGAAGCATGGATGGAGGGGTGAGAGCCCTGCCTGTGTAGATTAAGAGCACTAGAGAGTCGCCTCCCGGTTACACTTGGCTGCCACACCTCTTTGCAGATCTCTGCTCTTCCCTGGGAGTTGCCGTCTTGGCTACTGGTATTTTAGTGCCTGGCACAGAGCTTGTCACCTAGCAGGGATCTATGACCTGAATGAATAGGCTTTTTCCCCTGCTGTTACTGTTTTACAGAATGTATGTTTGTGATAAGAAAGTTCTGGAAGATAGAACACCTGGGATCAGTATAGCTCAGAGGCAACTGGACTGTGGACAAGATGAGTTTTGAAGAGTGTGAAGAAATGAGGAGATCAACAAATTATGGTCCCTGCTCTTTGATGTCACCTATTCCTGCCCTTCATGTCCTCTCCCAGCGTCTTTAACAAGGTGAGACTCTCCCTTTCATTCTGTGTAGCCCACTCTTCCCACTCAAGCATTTTTTCTGCGCTCCCCTGCTCCCCCTGGCTAACTTGGCCTGCTGTTAATGTGCCTTCTCCTGTGGTGTCCTGGGACTGGAACTACCCATTTCTGTGGGTGGTGCACCGCTGTCACACCAGCCGGTAGCACTAGTATATAGTGTTCTCAGCCACTTGTTGCTCTCCACTGCTCTGTCCCCAAAGAGAGTCCCCCCCCCCTTTTTCTGTTCTGCAGCTCCCTAGTCTAGACCAAAGGGCAGACTTTTTTTTTTTTGGTTTTTTGAGACAGGGTTTCTCTGCGTAGCTTTGTGCCTTTCCTGGAGCTCACTTGGTAGCCCAGGCTGGCCTCGAACTCACAAAGATCCGCCTGGCTCTACCTCCCGAGTGCTAGGATTAAAGGTGTGTGCCACCACTGCCTGGCAGACTTTTTTTTTTTTTTTAAATTTAATTTCCCATTTCCTCAGGAGGCTTCAAAACCAAAACCAAAAAACCCTTTCCAATTGATTGTGAACCATAAACACACACACACACACACACACACACACACACACACACACACACACACCTGTGATGCTTGGCTACAGGTTCTCAATAGCGACTCAAATCTGCACGTGCTCAAGACCCTTCTAGGAAACAGTGTCATGTAACACAAACTATGCATCTCCTCCCACATTCTTTAAATGATGTCTGGATGTCTGTCATACTGGATACGGTATGTTGCTCTGTGAATGTCTGATGTACTGCTTTGTTTAGGGAATAATAACAATAACAGAAATCCCATGTGTTTATTACAGTTCACACTGCTCCCACCCTGAATAATTTCTACCCATACTGGGCCAACTGTGTTAATTTTTTTTTACCTCCTCCACATTGGGACGCAGCCTCTTCAAGCAGTCAGATGCATCACAGTAGTGATGTGTGTTTCATAGCACAGCCTTTCAGTTCTGTTTCTGGTCAGGCCGGTCCCCTCGCTGGTGGTCCCAGCACTGCCATACAGATCCCCCTCCTCCAGTCCCAAGTGCCAAACTATTCCATCTCTGCCAAATCCTACACACCCTTTCCTAGCCCTGCTTGTATTTCAGGAGGCAGCTTCCCGGGTCCCCCGAGACTTATTTTCCTCCGGAGTGCTGTAGCACTCAGATGAGAACTCTCCAGCATGTTACTCATGTGTTTTATTTGTGTTATTTTATTCCCTATGACTCACAGTTGCCAGCTGTTTCTCTCTCTGATGACTTCATATTATCTCAATACAGCTAAGCCAGAACCACATTTCCCAGAATCTCTCTCCAGTTGGCTCCAGGTTAAGCTTAGCCACAAGAAAAACTTGTGCGAGGATTGGAAAATGCCGTCACAGACAGCCTCTGTGATGTCTGAAAGTTGTGGGACAACACAGTGCACTGGGGACAGGCTGTTGTGGATGTTGACTTACAGGTATGCATGCATGTCCCATTGCTCCATCTGATGTCGCTCTTTGCTCTCCAGTTCCAGCTGGGGATGCATGTGTGCACTTCTGTGGCTGGGGTGCTGCTTTTCTGGCATCTTTCACTGTCAGAGTCTATGCAGCATGGTGATATTGATGGTCAGCGTGGCTCTAGATCATTACTTCCATTTCATCCGTGCAGTATTGGAGACGTGGGCAAGGTTTAGGGGTACATTTCGGAAGACAGTGGGGGATTCAGAGCCAGGGAGTTTGGGAGTTTGGTGTGTAGCTAGCAGGGGAGTTGATGGGGCGCTGAGCTCACAGCCCAGCACCGCAGCAAGAAAAAGCAGTGATGGACTGAGGACTCTCACGACTTAGGAGGGAGCTGGGAGTTGTGAGATTAGGGAGAAGTAGGGAGGCTGAGACAGATGAGGAAGAAGAGCATCAGTGAGGGTAAGTAAAGACCTCTCCCCCTGGGCACTAGGCAGCGATGAAGATAGCATTGTTAAAATGTGTTAAGTGGGGCTGGAGAGAGATGGCTCAGTGGTTAAGAATGTTATTGTACTCACAGAGAACCTGAGTTTGGTTCCCAGCATCCACTGCTGGTCACTCACAACTGCTAGTAACTGCCGTTCCTGGGGTCCACTGCCCTCTTGTGGCCTCTGCAGGCACTGCTACTCACATGCACATACTTCCCCTAACCACATACATACACATAATTTAAAAAAAAAAAAATCCTTAGAAAACTCTCTTAAAGTCAGCTAGTGCTTTGGAAACATCTTTAAGTCTTTAAGTCTCTGTGGTAAGCACCCCCAATGTTCATTTTCCTGTAAATAAGCAGAGATGGTGGGGGATGGCAAAACCGACTCAATTAGCAGCTCTTGGCTGGACTCTTTCTTGTTGTCCTGGCTCTCTTGAGCAAAAGGACTATTGATCTAACACGGACGGAACTTCCCTTATGGCAGGACCAGTTGTCTTGAGTACTCCACAAATGCCTTGAGATAACTATGCCCAAACTACCTGTAGCTGATTGCCCTGGCCCCTGGAAGCACAGCATCAGCCAGGGCTGTTTGAAATTAGTCTATCACAAGCCTCAGGAAACATTTCCACCTTTGCCGGAGTGGGGTGCTTCTTGTGGTCTAATGGAGGACTGCTGTGTCTGTTGCTCAGGCAAGGCCATGATTGGTCCAAAACATAATCCTCAAGGACTCTGATTGGTGCTAAGAGGCAAGGTAATTGGCCCAGACAATTGGCTGTGACGGTCTATACAGCCCTTCTGTGGCTGTAAACACAGACTTCTCAGAAGCGAGGGGGTAGGAAACACTGTCCTGTGCCTCCTGCTGTCCCTGGAGTTAGAACATGAGCTTTTCTTGCTAACTTTTAGTTTTGCAGCCTGAGTGGGGAGCATGAAGAGGCAGGACAGACAGCAGGGTGGTAGGGACAGAAGTGGCAGATGTAGCAGAATGTCAGGAGCAGCTGTCCCTAAGCCATCAGTAGCCCAGGCTGTGAAAGCAGTATCTGGCTTTTCTCAGCTGAGCGGTCCTGGAGTGGCCAGACAGGAAGAAGGGAGGTGACGGAGAGGACAGGGAGGCTGGAGAGCAAGGGCTGCAGGATAAACGTCTGTAAGGAGTCAGAAGAGAGCATCTGTAGGCCCTGGTTGCTAAACCAGAGAGCTGCCAAGTCCTCAGGGTCCAAGGTCTCAGACCCCAGACCATGAGCTTTGACAATGGTTGATGTCAAGGGCTGAGTATCACTGTCTGTGGCCTGTACCAAGACTTTAACACTAGAGGGTGTCATTTCCACTGCTTCCCCTTTCCTGATGCCTGTGGCTCTCCATCTAAACAGGAAAGAGAGGAGAGCCACCTGCCTTTGAGGAGCTTCTCCTTGCCTACCCACGGTTTCCCTCTGGGTAGAGCCAAAGGACTCTCAGACAGCTGGCTGGAGACACTGTGTGACTCAGAAGGTCACATAAAATGCAGGCTGGGTTTGCTGCAGCAATTTATATGTAAAGGGGCCTTAGATCCGGGAGGAAGATTGTAGTGACCCAAGGGGCATGTCCACTTTATAAATATGCCCAAACAAAGCACTGGAAAACTGGGTGGCTTAAAACAATTGTCTCATAGTTCTGGAAGCCAGAAATCCAAGCTGTCGGTAGCCCCATGCATTCTCTGAAGGCTGCAGGGATGGATCTATTGCACGTCTCTTGGTGTCTGGTGTTGCTTGCCAGGCTGGGTATGTTCCCATCACTCCAGGTATTAATCACTCTGTCTGAAAGCTGCTCCATGGCAGTCTTCAGGTATCATGGCTGCTACTCTGCTATCATCTCTGCCTCTATCAAGTTTTCTTTGTGTGCATGTCTGTGTCCCTTTTCTTATGACATTAGCCACAGCAGATTAAGGGCATATGCTTAACTGACTATGTCCATAACGACTCTGTTTACAAATAAAGCCCCCTTCTGGGGTTTCTAGGAAGAACATCGATTTGTATGAGTAGGCGCACTGTTCAAATTGATACATGAGGCAAATAACTAAGGAAAAGGAAGATTGCAGACCGAAGAAGCTGCAAAGGAAGACAGGGTTAAAGGCAGCTTTTGTTTCTTTAACATGGAAGAGGTTTGAACATATTTCTGTGTTGAATATGTTGGAGAGCCTTAAGGATGGGAAGCCAAAGAGTGCAAGCAGAAAGCGAGTCATCGATGGCGCCAGCTCACAAGAGACTGGGGTCTGAAGTGCAGGTGGGTGGGTCAATCATGGACTTGGAGGTGAGGGCAGAAGGGACATGTATGGGTGGGTGCAAATGCGGGTGTCGGGGGGAGGAGGAGGCAAGTGGCAGAGCTGAGCGGATCTGGACAACACAGCTCTGGGAATGCTGAAGGCGTCCAGTGAGTAAATCGAGAGCAGGGGTCGGTGTGAGCAGCTGCAACAACAGCTTGGGGATCGAGCTCCACTCTGTGGGTAGAAGATGAGGGAAGGGTTCTGCCATGGGGACCCGGAGGGGAGCAACCTACTCATGCTGACGGATGGCACCTCGGGGGCACCGTCTCATTAACCTGAAAACTGTTCTGGAAGGCCGGAGGGAAGCCCCATATTCTTGGTACCTGCCTTTCCCTGCCACCCCAGGATTGTGAATACAACTACATCACCCCATCACACTCATTTTTTTTTTCTTGGTGTGTGGTGGCCTTCACCTGGATGTGTGGGAGGCCAGAGGAGGATGTGAATGTCTTCATCTGCTGTTTTCTACCTTCTGCCTTTAAGACAAGTTCTCTCACTGAGTTTAAAGCTTGCTGTTTCAACTAGGTTGGCTGGTCAGCAAGTTTCCGAGATCCTCCTGTCTCCACTCCCCAATGCTGGGGTTAGAAACACAGACAGCCATGCTCCATTTTTATATGGGCGCCAGCGATCCACACTCAGGTTCCTATGCATGCACAACAACCACTCTTACTCACAAGTCATTTTTTTCAGCCACACCCCCTTTTCCCCTATGGATTCTGGGGGTCATACTCAGGTCCTTGTGTTTCAAGGCAGCATTTTGCTGACCGAGTTGTTTCTCCAACCCTTGTGCAATTCTTTTCTTAACATCCTTTTTTTTTT